AAATGTATATATACGTATTTATACCTATATATATAGAGAGAGAGAGAGAAAGAGAGAGAAATTTATATTAAGGAAATGCCTCACGAAGTTGTAGAGTCTGGAAAGCCCAAGTTGGTGGGTCAAGCTACAGACTTGTCCCCACTCATGCAGTTGCAAGGGTTGGCAAACCCAAGATGCAGACCATGGAGGCTGATGAATCCTCAGATCCGCAGGCAAGCTGGTAGCTCAAGTCCCAACAACTGGAGGTCAGATGAACTGGAGCCACTGCAGGATCCAGAGTGAGCAAAAGTCCACCTATGTTGCATGCAGGCCACACCCCCAAGGAAACTTCCTTTCAAATGATTGGTTACTCAAAACAGATCCCATCATGTAGGTGATCACGTTATATCAGATGTCATCATGGAGTTAATGACATCATTATACGACTGCCAAACTACCTCAAAACTGCCCAACTGCTGGAGAATCATGCCTCAGCCAACTTGACACACAACCTTTACAATCACAGTCCAACCCTTGTCAACTTGGCACCTGTATACATCCCCTGAAATCATACATAATCTCTGAATAAAGACAAATATAAAGTCATACTTGCACCTAACTTGGTACAACCAAAAATGCACAAGCTTTGTTTACATCTTTTATTTTATAAGGGAAGAAAACAAAAATACTTGATACACAAATACAAGCAAGAAATATAATAATTAGAGTGTTCATTTCTGCAAATGGTCACATGGTCATAACTGGTATTTAGAACTACCTTCTTTCACCACCTATTTCATATTCCCATTGCGCTCAGCAAGCACCTCAGCTGATTGTGGTTCTAGGCCTGGTGGCATGACCCAAACCTTCATTCCTGCAGAGTCTGCGCCAGTAACAGTCATGTCGGAATTGGGTTGCTGTAGTTTTCCATTGACTTTAATCACAGAGCGTGGTAGCACTAAGAGACGACCCAAGGAATCTCCTGCATTCCAGACATACTCTTTTTTACCTTCATTATGTAATATCAATCTGATTTCCTCTTGGTAATCAGGATCAGTCACACCAGCCAATATGGTAACTCCCATCTTTGCCTGTTGATCCAGCGGTATAAGAAACTCAACATGGCCAGGTGGCATTCTTAACTTCCAGTTCAGTGGAATCAGTGATGTGTCTCCAGGTGGGAGTATTCCTCACTTTGGAAGTAAGACCTCTAGACCCATAAGCATAAGGTTGTGGGGACAGGAAGCACAAATTTTTTGAGCAAATCACTAAGGGTAATAGTAAGAGATGCCACTCCCATTTCCATCCCTTGATTCCTGGACACATCAATCCTGGCTATGGGGGAAAGAGCACCATATAGCCTCCTGGAGAACATTACCCCAACCCTGCAATGCCACCTAGCCAGTGCTGTAATTGTGTCTTTAGAAGGCCATTCCATTTTTCTATCAAGCCAGCTGCTTCAGGACAGTGGGGGACATGGTAAGACCAGTGAATTCCATGAGCTCGGGCCCATTGCTGTACTTCAGTTTCTATGAAGTGAATCCCTTGATCAGAGGCAGTGCTGTGCCGGATACTATGACAGTGGATAAGACATTCTGTAAGTCCACGGATGGTAGTTTTGGCAGAAGCATTATGTGCAGGGAAGGCAAATCCATACGCAGAGTAAGTGTCTATTCCAGTAAGAACAAAATGCTGCCCTTTCCATGATAGAAGTGGTCCAATGTAATCAACCTGTCATCAGGTGCCTGGCTGATCACCTCGAGGAATGGTGCCATACTGAAGACTCAGTGTTGGTCTCTGCTGCTGGCAGATTGGGCACTCAGCAGTGGCTGTAGCCAAGTTAGCCTTGGTGAGTGGAAGTCCATGTTGATGAGTCCATGCATAACCTCCATTCCTGTCACCATGGCCACATTGTTCATGAGCCCACTGGGCAATGTTGAGGGTGGCTTGGGAAAGAGGATGACTGGTTTCCACTATCCGCTTGATTGTTAAAGTCCTCTGCTGAGGTCACCCTTTGGTGAAAATTCACATGAGACACAAATATTTTCACTTCTTGGCCATTCAGAGAGGTCTATCCACAAACCTCTTCCCCATACCTCCTTGTCTCCAATTTTCCAATCATGTTCCTTCCAAATCCCTGACCATCCAGCCAAACCACTGGCCACAGTCCATGAATCAGTATACGATGGCACACCTAGCCATTTCTCCTTCCAAGCAAAGTGAACAACCAGATGCACTGCTTGAAGTTCTGCCAATTGGGAGGATTTCCCTTTTCCACTGTCCTTCAGCTGCCGCTGTCCACTTTTGAGTGGTGCCTACGTATCGAACGAAACCACCTGTAAACCAGGCATGAGTTTTTTC